TCTTAATTAGTATGATTAGACAATGTGGAATTCCCACATTGTTCATTACACTTTCCGCTTGCGAGCACAAAAATGTAGATTTGTTGAAAATCTTATACAAAATACATGAAAATAAGATTATCAGCAAGTATGATGCATTAAATTTGGACATGGCTGAAAAAACAAGACTTATAAGAGAGGATCCTGTAACTTGTGTCAGATATATAGAGGAGAGATTTGGTCAAATTATGTCTATTCTACAAAATGAAAATGGACCATTTGAACAAAACTATGTAGTTGACTACTTTCAAAGAAGGGAATTTCAAGCAAGAGGAACTGTTCACACACACAATCTATTATACTGTAAAAATGCACCAATTTACGATGAAGAAAATGAGGATGGAAATAAAACATTAATTCATTTGATTGATAAATACATTTCATGTTCCTACGATGATAATAATCCATTAATACGTATGCAAATACATCGACATAAACCAACATGTTATAAAGGACGTAAAAATAAATCGGTATGTCGATTCAATATACCAATTTTTGTGATGAAAGAAACAATGATTCTGAAACCATTAGAAAATAAGCATGAAATTAAAACTTACAAAAATAATCGTAAAAAAATTAAAGACCTAATGCAGATATTTTTTGAAAATAAGGTACTAGTTTCTTTCGAAGAGATGTTAAAACAATTGGAAATGAACGAAAAAGAATATATTAAAACAATTAGAAGCACGTTATCTAGGATAAAAATATTCTTGAAAAGACAAAGCAATGAAGTTGCGATTAATGCATATAATATTAATATATTGACTCTTCTGGAATCAAATATGGATATACAATTTGTTTTAGATCCATATAGTTGTGCTTCATACATGATTAATTATGTAACAAAAATTGATGCTGGACTATCACGATTGTTAAAAGAAGCATCTAATGATTTGGAAAATGGCAATCTGAATATTAGGCAAAAGTTACGAAAATTGCTAACGTTTTTATAAATGGAAATACACTATGTCAGCACAAGAAGCAGTATATCACGTTCTGAGCATGCCACTTACATTGTGCAGTAGAGCTGTTATATATGTTAACACAGCACCACAAAATGAGCGTGTACGTATGTTAAAAAATGAAAAAGATTAAAAAAAATAGATATGGAATCCACAGATATATATTACAAAAATATAATTGAAAAGTACGAGAGCAGAAATTATCATAAAATGTCAAATGTTTGTCTGGCCGAATTTGCAGCAAATTATGAAGAAAATAGAAAATTATTCAGAAGAGATGGGGTTGAAGAATCAGATGAAGAGTTTGAAATGAGAGATAGGAAAAAACAGAAAATTATTAGATTTCGACGTTATAAATTACAAGAGAATAGGTATAATTATTTTAGGGAACAGGTTTTATTGTTTTTACCATGGAAAAACGAAAAAGATAATGTGGAGAATCAAGATTGTGAAAAAATTTATATAGAAAATATCCACATAATTGAGGAAAATAGAAAGAAATTCTCCGTTATAGGTGATGCAGAAATTGACAACGCGTTATTTCAGGCACAAAAAGATCATGAGGATATAGAAGATAATGAATTTGAATCGTTTATAGAAAACAAAATACCAAAAGAGCAGGAAATAGATATATTTGGACAAACTGGTTTGACTACTTGCACAAAGAACAATAAAAGAAAAATTAATATTCCTCCTAAATCGACAAAAGAAGAAATTATTAATTTGATGGGAAAATTAAATGATAAACAAAGGGAAATAACAATGCACATTTTGAATTGTTTTAAAATAGGAAGTTTACCTATTAGAATTTACATTGGTGGATCAGCCGGAGTTGGAAAAAGCGTAGTAATAAACGCTATTTATCAAGTATTATTGAATTACTTTAATAAATTCCCTGGGGAAAAAAACAATTCTGTAAAAATATTACTATGCGCACCTTCTGGTAAAGCGGCATTTTTAACAGGTGGTGTAACATTACACACAGCTTTTGCTTTACCAATAACACAGTATGGTGGACAAATGCCAGAACTCTCTGCTGACGTAGCGAATACTATTCGCGAGAACTTGTTTGAATTAAAATTACTAATTATAGACGAAATTTCAATGGTAGGTAGTACGATGTTCAGCAGAGTAGATACAAGATTAAGACAAATAATGGGGCGTAATCTAAGCTTTGGAGGAATATCTGTTTTGGTGATCGGAGATTTGTATCAATTACCACCGGTAATGGATACGCATATTTATTTATCCTCAAAATCATGCACGCTAAGTTTTTTGGCAGAAAATGTTCTATGGAATGAATTTCAATATTTTGAGTTAAGCGAAATAATGAGACAAAAGGGAGATAAAAGCTTTACTATTGCCCTTAACAATCTAGCGAGATGTGCAATGACTGCAAATGATATTGCTATAATTAAATCACGTGAAACGAAAAAAGGACACGTTCCAAAAGACGCGATTAGATTATATCCTGATAATTGCTCGGTAAATAGCTTCAATGAAATGAAAATCAATTCACATGAGGGACAATCTTTTGAATTTATAGCTAAAGACTCAATTTTAGAAAAAATTTCTAGTAAAATGAGAAATAAAATTTTAACATCCTTAAAAAATAAAAAACCAACCGAATGCGCAGGTTTGGCATACAAAGTTAGTCTAAAAATAGGTATCAATTATATGATAACTACAAATATTGATGTAGAGGATGGATTAGTTAACGGTGCTTGTGGTAAATTAAAACAAATAACATTTATACCAGGTACAGAGGAACTAATTAAAATTTGGCTTGATTTTAATAACAATAAAATTGGATTTGAAAAACGTAGAAAGTATATTAATTATATGAATGAAAACTCTATGGAAATGAGTTTGGTTCCTGTTGGAGACGCGCATATCGAGCATTCGCACGGTAGATCAAGAACCTTGAGCTTGTTTGTCGCAAGTCAGATAAACAAGCTCAGGGCAAATGATCCGTTAGCAATAATACACGCGGCCAATATTTTGCACCTGTAAGTCGATTAGCGGGCACGCGCCGCGCTGGCGAGCACGCCATCACGGCCCAATCGACACTCGCCGCGGGAAGAAAGCCGTTCGTCACCGGCTACGCGGCGAGAGCCAATTGGCTTAGACCACCTTTGTCACGGGGTTCGCGGTCTAATAAATGTAAGCTGCGGACCCCGCTCGCCACTGATCGCTTCTCGCTTTCGTCAGTACCGCTTATCGCAAAACCGCAATTATACAACCGCCTTATATCGACCCTCGCTGTGCTTTTGGACTTTTGAAATTATCGCGACCCGTGCTTCTCCTATCGGACACTTTCTCTCTCTCGCGCCGGAATCAGAACGCGCCTGAAAGGAACGTGTGATATTAATTGTGAACCACCTTCTTTGTTAAGATTTTATTTGGCGTAGTGAATTAAAGGTTTTGAGTTTATTAACTTTCGCTGGCTTACTGCTCCCGATCCAATCTTACAACAGCGCGCACTCCGACATTTTGGTCCTTCGAGCCGGATCTCAAACCGGCATCCGCGAGTTCGGGAGTGCTGTCCGTGTGTAAGTGGAGCCAAGTCAGTCTGAAAGAAAGGACACACGCTGTACCATGGATCTCAGCACCGTGCTCGCGAGTCAACACGACATCTTCGGCCGCATGGCTCGCTCGGTCGACAATCTCCGCAAGCTCGGAGCCGCCAACATCACCCTGACCGCCGTTGAAACTCGCCTCAAGATACTCGACGGTCTGTGGAACAAATTCACGGCACAGCACGATCTCGTCCTGGCTGGGTACAAAACCGGCTATGCAGAGAGTGAGTACGCTAAGTCAAACCTTTACGACACCGTTGAGACGACCTACGTCCAGCAGCGCTGCGCACTCAGCGGGTACCGACCAACGGTCCCCGCAACTCCTGCCGCGGAAACCGAGTCCAGAGGCCAGCAGGCCTCGAAAACCGCTCTACCGCGCATCAAACTTCCTCAATTTTCGGGCGCGTACGAGGATTGGCCGTCATTCCGCGACCTGTTCTCGTCTGTCGTTGGAGAGAACCCCGCTCTCTCTAAGGTCGAGCGGCTGCACTATCTCCGATCATGCCTGCAAGGGAATGCGGAGAAATTAATAAAGACGCTTACGATTACCAATGAGAATTATGATCGCGCGTGGACTACTCTCTCCAAGCATTTCGATAACAAACGGGAGCTTATCCGCTCCAATTTCGCGACCTTTACTTCCGTGCCGAAAATGAAGAGCGAGAGCGCGGAGGAGCTCGATCGTATACTTGCCGCCGCAACCGCCGCAGTAAACGCGCAGGAAAGTATAGGCCGACCGATTCAATCCCACGGGATGGACCTGTTCAACCACCTGGTCGCTGAGTTGTTCGATCCGCGAACTCGGCTTGAATGGGAGTCCTCCTCTTCTGACTCAAGCGAACCTGCCGATCATGAAACACTTATCGAGTTCATGACGAAACGAATACTTACCTTGAACGCCGCCAAACCAAGGTCCGCCGGGAAGGTGCTGCCTGACGCGCCGCGAACAGCTAAGGCTCATCACGCCAAACGCGAAAACGAGACCGCGACCTGCGATCTGTGCAAATCCAAACACTCCCTGTGGCAATGCCCCGCGTTCAAGGCCAAGTCCGCTGCAGAAAGGAAGGAGCACGTAAATTCCGGGCGACTATGTTGGAACTGCCTCGGTCGTCACGCGGTCGCCAAATGCCAATCCACGCGTAATTGCTTCTCCTGCGGGGCACGGCACCACACTCTGTTGCACGACGTGAGCGCGCTCCCCATGCCGGTGGAGGCAAGCTCGCTGACCACCTCGCGACGGTGCGATAACAGTGGCTCAGTCCTCCTGGCGACTGCACGCGTACTCGTAACCGACCGCCATGGAGAAGCTCACACTGTCCGCGCACTAGTGGACCAAGGGTCCGAGGTGTCCATTGTCTCTGAGGCACTGGTCCAGAGACTCCGTCTCCCGCGTTCGCGCACCGCGGTGTCGATCCTCGGGATTGGGGATCCAAGTCCGGAACGGCACGGGGAAAGGTGGCTCTCCAACTCACAGGTCAGACCACCGGCGCCGAGGTGTCCGTCGACGCGTACGTGCTCCCGCGGCTCACTCCGTACACGGGACCCGCGACCAACCGCGAGGCCGATTGGCCTCACATTCGAGGCCTACCTCTGGCCGACCCGCAATTCAACGCCGCGCCGCAGATCAGATCGAGCTACTGCTCGGCGCTGAGGTATGCGGCGTCATCTTGGAGAGTGGACTCCGCAAGGGAGGTCCGCACTCACCGCTTGCCCAGAAAACCTCTTTGGGCTGGATCCTGTCCGGGTGCGGTGAGTCAAAAGCCCTCACTAACTCGCGTGGAGCGCACCAATGCACCCTGGATCGCGATCTGAACGACCTGGTGCAGCGCTTCTGGCTTCAGGAGAAGGAGCCCTCGGTTCTCCCTGCTCTCACGCCCGACCAACAGCGCTGCGAAGATTTCTTTGCCCGCACTCATTCACGTAATAGCACTGGGCGATACATCGTTCGGTTGCCCTTTTCCGCCAAGCCAGCCACTCTGGCCGGCACGCGAAAACCCGCTGAACGACTGCTGGCGGCTATGGAGCGCAAGAGCCAGAACGATCCACGCTTTGGCAGTCTCTACCGGACCTTCATGCAGGAGTACGCTGACCTGCATCACATGGAGAAAGTTAGCCACACGCCCGTCCAACAGAAAGAGATATGTTTCTTGCCTCATCACGGGGTGATGAAAGAGGCCAGCACATCGACCAAGCTCAGGGTTGTGTTCAACGGATCGCAGCGCACCGGATCAGGGGAAACGCTGAACGGCTGCCTGATGATTGGAGCAAACCTACTGCCCGCGTTGGCCAACGTTCTGCTGCGATGGCGGTGGCACCGCTACGTGTTCATGATGGACATCGCCAAGATGTACCGTCAAATTCTTGTGCACCCTCATGATCGGGACTGGCAGAGGATCCTGTGGCGTCCGAGGCCCGACGGAGAAGCGCTAGAGTACCGCCTCAACACGGTTACCTACGGCTTGGCGTGCGCCCCGTTCCTCGCCATTCGGACGCTCCGTCAACTGACCGACGACGAGGGAGGCCACTTCCCGCTAGGTGCTGCTGCGTTGAGGAGCGACTCCTACGTCGACGACATCGTCACCGGCGCCGACTCCGCGGAAAAGGCCAACTCAACGGCCCGAGAACTCCAGGACTTGTGCAAAGCGGGCGGGTTTCCCTTGCGAAAGTGGGCCGCTAACTGCCAAGCCGTACTTGCTGGAATTCCCGTAGAGCACCGCCTCCAAGTGTCCTCGCGACAGTGGAACGTGGACCGCCACTCCACCTTGGGACTGCTTTGGCACCCCGTCGAGGACTCGTTCGCCATCTCACTTCGCGCACGCACAATACCACCGCTCACGAAACGTAACGTGCTCGCCGAGACGGCCCGGCTATTTAACCCGCTCGGATGGCTGGCCCCCGTGATTATTCGGGCGAAAATCCATATCCAGTCCGCCTGGATTCAACAGGTGGATTGGGACTCGACTCTCCCAGCGCCCGATGCCCGCCTCTGGCGAGCCTTCCTCGAGGACCTTCCGAGCCTCGAGGGAATGAGAGTGCCGCGATGGTTGGGCAGCGACATCGCCACGGCCGAACTCGAGATACACGGCTTCGCTGACGCATCGGAGAGAGCTTACGCCGCAGTAGTGTATCTCCGCACTTCACGCCCCGACGGCAACACGATAAACTTGCTCGCCGCCAGGAGCAAGGTCGCCCCGGTGAAGCCTGTATCTCTCCCTCGGTTGGAGCTTTGCGCTGCGACACTCTTGACCAACCTCGCGCATCACGTGCGCGAGGTATTGTGCTTGTCCACAGCCCCGCTCTTCTTATGGTCGGACTCCACGGTCACTCTTCACTGGATACGCGGCCACGCTTCCCGGTGGAAAACCTCCGTGGCGAACAGGGTAGCACGGATCCAGGACCGCCTCCCCGGAGCGCAGTGGCTGCACACGCCTGGACACGAGAACCCCGCGGACTGCGCTTCACGAGGCATCTCACCGAGCGAGCCGATTACTCACCCACTCTGGTGGTCCGGCCCCCCTTGGCTCAGTCGTACCCGAGATGCCTGGCCAACTCAGAAGGTCCATGAGGAAGACGAAGGCACTGGCGCCATTCCGGAGAGCCGCACCGTGGCTTGTGTCGCCACACATGCACCTACGGAACCTGAAACCCTCCTACGCTTTTCCTCCTGGCACTCCCTCCTCAGGGTCACAGCTTGGATGCTCCGCTGGAGATATCCTCACCATCCCCTCGAACCTGACGAGTTGAGAAAGGCCTCCCTACTGTGGATACGCCTCGCTCAGGGCATCCACTATCCCGCCGAAATCAAAGCCGCCACACGTGACCGCGCCGTACTCGCCACGAGCCCCCTAGCCAAGCTGAGCCCCTTCCTGGATGAGGACAGCATCCTGAGGGTAGGAGGATGGCTGAGGAACGCGAGCCTTCCACGTGACGAGCGGCACCCCATCATCCTGCCGCCGGCGTCATGGCTCACCCTCCTGATGGTGGATGCCCACCACCGTCGCTCGTTGCATGGCGGTGTACAGCTCACCCCTAGGGCTGCTGCGCCTTGAATATTGGCTGCCGCGAGGAAGAGCCGTGGTCAAGCAACGGCTGCGACAGTGCGTGACGTGCACTCGCTGGCGAGGAACCGCACTCCAACCTACCATGGGCAACCTTCCGCGGGACAGAGTGACCCCCGCACGGCCGTTCACGAAGACTGGAGTCGATTACGCTGGGCCCGTGGCTGTTCGCACCAGCAAGGGACGCGGACAGCGCACCACCAAGGCCTTCATAGCGGTGTTCGTCTGCCTCAGCTCCAAGGCGGTTCACCTGGAATTGGCGTCCGATTACACCTCCGAGGCCTTCCTGGCGACCTTTCGCAGATTCACCGCCCGCAGAGGCCTCTGCACGGACATGTATTCGGACTGTGGAACCAATTTCGTGGGGGCCGACAAGGAGCTCAGGCGTCTCTTCCAAGCCTCCTCGCGCGACGGCCACCGTATCGCCCGAGAGGCCGCTACCTCTGGAACTAAGTGGCACTTCAACCCCCCTGCCGCTCCTCACTTCGGAGGACTCTGGGAGGCTGCGGTAAAATCAACCAAGCACCATCTCCGGAGGGTGATCGGCGAGGCAAAGTTGACGTTCGAGGAATTCACCACCTTCCTTACTCAAATAGAGGCTTGCCTCAATTCCCGACCTCTTCGCGCGCTATCCGATGACCCCGAAGATCTGTCCGCACTCACTCCTGGTCATTTCTTGATAGGCTCACCACTGCTAGCTGTCCCGGAACCGTCACGCGACGACCAGAGGGAAGGCTCACTCTCCCGGTGGCACAATGTCCAAAGGATGCGCGACCACTTTTGGAAACGATGGTCGCACGAGTACCTTGCCGAAATCGCAACCAAACCGAAGTGGCACAAACCAGCAATCACACCGGAGATCGGCGCACTATGCATCATCCGCTCGGAGAACACTGCACCGACTCACTGGCCACTCGCGAGAATCACGAAGCTGCATCCGGGTGACGATGGAGTAGTCCGAGTCGTCACCCTTAGGATCGCGTCGGCGATCCTTGTGCGTCCGGCCACGAAAATTGTACCGCTGCCGGGCATTCGTGCCGCTACGGCTGAAATTTAATAAAACCACGATCGCGCACATCGCGGTTCTCGAATCGCGTCCCCTGAGTTACTACGCTCACAATCATTGAGCCCCACGAGTCGCGCGATTTCGCTCGGCAAAATCAGCTGTGCGAGCACGTGAAAAGCGCGTGCTCGCTACCGCGCCGCCGCAGCGGGCTCACGCGCGCTCCCACCGGCGCGCCACAGACTACCGCGCGCCAAGTCTTTGTGGCCGCAAGCATATCGGCGACATCACCTCATCATCGCACCTAAAATCATGTAGCCTAACCGACAGTCAGATATATGTATATATGTTGTAACGAACGAATAACTCCTCTCGGTACGGAATTTCGGACGGGACTCCGGAATCCGTGATTTGCTCCGCGAATAAACGCGATACTTAGTCGGACGCGCGGTTCCGACTAACGGTTGGAGGAGTTAGCTTCTCGCGGTCGGTATTTTGACGTGCTGTGTGTCGGTTAGAATAGATCCTCCGTTCCTCCTGTTGCCGAATATGCTCAGCTCCAGGGCCGTCGGGAGGAAAGGAGGCAAGGTAGATTTTAATTCGCTTAATAGAGTCAATCGCTTGGAAAGGACCGGAAATAAGTCTTACAGGTAGTTTTCGGTATAACAATAAGCACAAGGTTTATTCAGGATATCTACAGCGGAATAGAGGTAATTACAAAAGGTACGCCATATAGGTAAATACAGAGGAAAAGAAATAAGGATTAGTAAGTACAAGAGTCCGCCCTGTAGGTAAATACAAAAGAAAGAAAGAAAGAAGATTAGTGCGACGGATAGATACAAGGAAATCGTGGTAATTGCGCACGCGACGGATAGAAACAAGGAAATCGTGGTAATTGCGCACGCGACGGATAGAAACAAGGAAATCGTGGTAATTGCGCACGCGGCCGAGTAGGAATATGGAATAACAAAGATACGGCCGGTTGGATTAATCGCAGAAAAGACAGGTAGTACAGGAAACGGTCGGTGAGGATGTTACACAGGATCCTCTGAAACGGAGCGAAAGAACAGGATTAACGTTACGGAGCTTACGGCTATCGATAATTAATAATTCGTCTCCCACCCAAATATTCCCCCCTGTGTTCTATACCGGTCGGGGGGTCAGGAAAAAGGATAGGTTCAGGTCAGGAACACGCCCGAGCAGCGCCTCGTTATGCGTGTGTTCTCAGTAGCATGTGTACACCGGGCAGCACCCCGTTACTGTGTACGCTACTGCGGACGGAAAGGAGACCGGTAGGGGATCAGTAGTGATGTACATCGGGCAGCACCCCGTTCTTGTACCCTACTGCGGGGAGGCCGGAGCACACGACGGAGCAGCCTGTCGTGTACCCCGGAATGGTATAACGCCGGACGGCAGGACCCGTTATACCGGCGTATACCGCAGCGGAGGTACCCGCTGCCGGGTGTCGTCGCTCGGTGCTCCGAGGAAAGACTGGGTGATCGCGCTCGCTCCGGAGGGGCTTTTATACCCCTGGAGCCTGGGCGCGCGGGTGGAGGTGGCGAGGGTAGGCGCGGCGTTGCCACCTCCGCGTTGTTATGGTGACCGCGGCTTTGGTATGCGCGGAATGCGAGGAATGCGGCCACTTCCGGCCGCGCCTTCCCGGTTACCCCCGTTACACGTGGAATGCGAGGAATGCGGCCACTTCCGGCCGCGCCTTCCCCGCTACCCCCGTTACAATGTAAAATATGTTGCCAGACATCAGACGCCTCCGCGCGGAATCATCCCTTCTAAATTTATTTCGCGCATAAGACGGCACTCTCGAGACTTAGTCAAATGAAATACGTTTTGTTTCCTCCATCTCTCTTAGCGAGGTGCTTGTCGCTTCATCCGGAACCGTCAAGGCGGGCGGGAATGTTGGAGACGCGCATATCGAGCATTCGCACGGTAGATCAAGAACCTTGAGCTTGTTTGTCGCAAGTCAGATAAACAAGCTCAGGGCAAATGATCCGTTAGCAATAATACACGCGGCCAATATTTTGCACCTGTAAGTCGATTAGCGGGCACGCGCCGCGCTGGCGAGCACACCATCACGGCCCAATCGACACTCGCCGCGGGAAGAAAGCCGTTCGTCACCGGCTACGCGGCGAGAGCTAATTGGCTTAGACCACCTTTGTCACGGGGTTCGCGGTCTAATAAATGTGAGCTGCGGACCCCGCTCGCCACTGATCGCTTCTCGCTTTCGTCAGTACCGCTTATCGCAAAACCGCAATTATACAACCGCCTTATATCGACCCTCGCTGTGCTTTTGGACTTTTGAAATTATCGCGACCCGTGCTTCTCCTATCGGACACTTTCTCTCTCTCGCGCCGGAATCAGAACGCGCCTGAAAGGAACGTGTGATATTAATTGTGAACCACCTTCTTTGTTAAGATTTTATTTGGCGTAGTGAATTAAAGGTTTTGAGTTTATTAACTTTCGCTGGCTTACTGCTCCCGATCCAATCTTACAACAGCGCGCACTCCGACAGTTCCTATATCAACAATAACAGTAGTATTGAACATAAATGAAAGAATGGGATATCAAATTGTGAGGCAACAATTTCCGATGACACCTGCTGAAGCATTAACAATACATAAAAGCCAAGGACAAACCTACGATAAAGTATGTATCGATCTAAGAGGCAGAAATCATATGAAAAGAGCAATGCTGTATGTAGCACTGAGTAGAGTTAGAAAATTATCTGATTTATATATTCTCGGAAATTTTATTTTACCAAAAAAAGGATCATCAAATAATATTTTGGAATTAGAAATTAAACGCCTAAAAACGGAAAATTATTTGAAATTATCATATTCCAAAATAATTGAGGGAAATATAATAAAAATTATTTATCAGAATGTGCGATCGTTAAATAAAAATTTCGAAAGTATATGTTGTAATAAATGGTACAAACAAGCCGATTTATTAATTTTTTCCGAAACACAAACAATCGAAACGGATGAATTTAAAATAGACGGATTCAAAATTATTTTACGAAGTGACAATTATAAGAAACGTTTACAAAAGGAATAATATGCTTCATCAAAAAGGAAATAAAAGCATCTGTTGAAGAACATATTCAAAAAGATGAGAATATTAATGGACAACATCAACATATTGATTTAATACGTTTAATTATTAATGAAATAGAAATCATTACTGGTTATAAATCTCCTTCATTACCTAGAACAATGTTTACGCGGGAAATGAATAATATTTTAAGAAATTCAGGAAAAAACAAAAAGATTGTAATAGGTGATTTTAATTACGATTGCTTTCATAAAGATGGATTTTTAGAAAAATATTTTAAAGAATTGCAATTAAAATTTGCAATTAGCAAGGAAGTATCAACTACAAATTTCAATACGCAAATAGATGTAATATTCATATCAGATGCGATTTCAAATTTTAATGCAGGAGTTTACGAAACATATTTTTCTGATCATAAACCAATTTCTATTGGCTTAAATGAGGAGTGCAAAATTCAAATTTCAACGAAAAAAGAATTGGTAAAACTAAAGACGGAAATTTCTAATTCGTTGGAGAAAAAGGAAGAATTGAATAACATAATGAATGGAAATAATAATGAGACATATATTATCGAAAAAACGGAATGTGAAATAGTTAAGGAAGGTAAATTCAACATAGATAAAGAAGAAATTTCTAAAGATAATTTAGGTAAATTTAATCAAATAAAGTTCGAACCTAAGAAAATTTATAAAAAAGAAATTTACTCAGCCCCACAATCTATAGAGGAAAACGTATTGGGTGAGAATTCCTGGTTAGATGATAGATCATTGAATGAAATTATGAAAATAATAGAAAGTAACACTTCATACAATCGAGTAGATGTACTTTTTATTAATGGATTACAATGGGTTAATCCGATCTTTACATGCGATGTTCAGATTATTGGAGGTGAACATACAGGTAATCATTGGCATTGCATTTATTTTGACGGAATTTTTATAATTCATTCACTTGAAATATTCTTGAAATTCTTATTTCCTTGAACAATTCTTTAATATAGTACTTGAAATAACCTTGGTTATTAATAAGAGCATAAGCCTCTTGTTGTTTCTCGAGTCAATTTTAATAGTAATCGCCACACATTCTGGGGATATCGACATATTCAATATATCGCGTGCTGCTATCGATTGTCTGCCATGTTTATGTTCACAGCTCTCGCGGTATATTCCGTTCTATATTATGTTGGTTCTAGGTTCGTCCCCGCACGAGCCATGGTTGTCGAGCTCTAGCGCAGTTGTACTGTTACTCGTATTAAAACACGTGTGTTACCCAAGTCTTCTCTCAATACTCTTTCCCATTCCTGCGCTTCCCAAGTATCCAGGAACAACACCTCTTAACGAAAGTTTATAATTTATTGTAATATAACTCAACTCTCAATTGTGATGAAATATAATGTTTTTAATAATCTTTTCTCTTATAAATGTTTAATACAAAAGGTCGAATGCTAGACTTACTTAAAATTAATTCGCAGATTGACGACAG